TTGAGACAGGGTCTCACTCTGTTGTCCAGGCTGGAGTGCAGTGGCATGATCTTGGCTCACTGTAATCTGCTTCCTGAGCTCAAATGATCCTTCCACCTCAGCCTCCAGAGTAGCTGGGATTATACGCATACGCCAACAGGACTGACTAATTTTTAAATATTTTTACAGATGGGGGTCTCACTATGGTGCCCAGGCTGGTCTCAAACTCCTGGGTTCAAGCAATCCTCCTGCCTTAGTCTGTCAAAGTGCTGGGAATACAGGCATGAGCCAGTGTGCCTGGACTATTGCTGTTTATAACGTATTTATTGTTAAATGGCAGGCTCCCAGGGCGATGTGACATTTGCCAGGAGAGGAAGGCTGTTTGGCAAGAATCCTGACAGACAAAAGCTGGAGGAGGATGGAACAAGACGGCAGAATAAAAAGCTCCACTGATCATACCCCGCCCCCACAAGGACACCAGGTTAACAACTACCTGCATAGAAGAAACACCTTCATAAGAACCAAAAATCAGGTGAGCCATCATGGTACCTGATTTTAATTTCATATTGCTAAAAGAGGCACGGAAGAGATTAAAAAACAGCCTGGAATTGCCTACGCCACCCCTTCCCACCCCCGGCAGCAATGGTGTGGTGGGGAGAACATCTCTGGGTGCTGGGGGAGGGAAAATCCAGCAATTGTGAGGCATTGAACTCAATGCTGTCCTGTTAGAGCAGAAAGAAAACCCAGAGCAAACTCGGTTGATGCCTGCCCATGGAGGGAGCATTTAAAGTAGCCCTAGCCAAAGGGGAATCACCAGTCTCAGCTGGAGACCTCAACACCCCATTTTCAGCATTAGACAGAACTTTCAGACAGAAAATCAACAAATAATCATCAAATTTAATCTGCACTGTAGACCAAATGGGTCTAATAGATATTTACAGAACATTTCATTTAAGAGCTGCAGAATACACATTATTTTCCTCAGCATGTGGATCATTCTCAAGGATAGACTATATTTTAGGTTACAAAACAAGTCTTAAAACATTCAAAAATTGAAATAATATTAAGCATCTTCTTTGACCACAATGGAATAAAACTAGAAATTAATAACAAGAGGAATTTTGGAAACCATACAAATACATGGAAATTAAACAATATGCTCCTGAATGACCAGTGGATCAATGAAGAAGTTAAGAAGAAAATTGAAAAATATCTTGAAACAAATGATAATGGAAACACAACCTACCAAAACCTATGAGATACAGCAAAAGCAGTACTCAGAGGAAAGTTTATGGCTATAAGTGCCTACATCAAAAAAATAGGAAAAACTTTAAATAAATAATCTAAGGATGCATCTTAAATGACTAGAAAAGCAAGAGCAAATCAAACCCAAAATTAGTAGCAGAAAAGAAATAATGAAGTTCGGAGCAGAAATAAATGATATTGAGATGAAGAAAACAATACAAAAGATCAATGCAACAAAAAGTTGGTTTTTTGAAAAGTTAAAGAAAATTGGCAAACATTTAGCCAGAGTAACTAAGAAAAAAAGAGAGAAGATCCAAATAAACAAAATCAGAAATAAAAGAGGAGGTATTAAAACTGATACTACAGAAATTCAAAGGATCATTAGAGGCTACTGTGAGCAACTATATGCCAATACATTGGAAAATCTGGAAGAAATGGACAAATTCCTAGACACATGCAGCCTACCAAGATTGAATCAGGAAGAAATTCAAAACTTGAACAGCACAAAAGCAAGTAATGAGATCAAAGCTGTAATAAAAAGTCTCCCAGTAAAGAAAAGTCCAGGACCCGATGGCTTCACTGTTGAATTCTACCACAAATTTAAAGAAGAACTCGCTGGGTGCAGTGGCTCACGCCTGTAATCCCAGCACTTTGGAAGGCCGAGGTGGGTGGATCATGAGATCAGGAGTTCGAGACCAGCCTGACCAACATGGTGAAATGCAGTCTCTACTAAAAATACAAAAATTAGCTGGGTGTGGAGGCGCGCGCCTGTAATCCCATCTACTGAGGAGCCTGAGCAGAAGAATTGCCTAAACTCGGGAGGTGGAGGTTGCAGTGAGCTGAGATAGTGCCACTGCACTTCAGCCTGGGTGACAGAGTGAGACTCCATCTCAAAAATAAATAAACGATTCCAAAACACAGAGAATGAGAGAATACTTCCAATCTCATTCCAAAACACAGAGGATGAGAGAATACTTCCAATCTCATTCTATGAGACTGGCATTACTCTAATGCCAAAACCAGACAACGACACATCAATAAAAGAAAACCACAGGCCAATATCTCTGATGAACATAGATGCAAAAATCTCAACAAAATACTAGTAAACTAAATTCAACAATACATTAAAAAGATCATTCATCAGGACCAACTGGGATTTATCCCTGGGATGCAAGGATAGCTCAACATACACAAATCAATCAATGTGATACAGCCTGTTAACAGAATGAAGGAAAAAAATGTCCAGTTTCAGCTTGAAATAAAAACCTTTTATTTCGGTTGATGCTGAAAAAGCATTTGATAAAATTCAAAATTTACTCATGATAAAAACCCTCAAAATCAGGGGATAGGAAAAACATACCTTAACATAATAAAAGCCATATGTTATAGACCTACATCTAGTATTATACTGAATGGGGAAAAACTGAAAGCCTTTCCTCTAAGATCTGGAACATGGCAGGGATGCCCACCATCATCGTTATTTTGGAAGTTCTGGCTAGAGCAATCAGACAAGAGAAAGATACAAAGGACATCCAATTTGGAAAGGAAACAGTTAAATTATCATTACTTGCTGATGATATGATCTTATATTTAGAATTGATAAAGTTATTAGAATTGTAGGATCCAAAATCAACCTACAAAAATTAGTAGCATTTCTATATGCCAACAGTGAACAATCTGAAAAAGAAATTTCAAAAATAATCCCATTTACAAGAGCTACATATAAAATTAAATACCTAGGAATTAACCAAAAGAAGTGAAAGGTCTCTATAATGAAAAGTAAAATATACTGGCCAGGCGCAGTGGCTTATACTTGTAATCCCAGCACCTTGGGATGCTGAGGCAGGCAGATCACAAGGTCAGGAGTTTGAGACCAGCCTGGCCAACATGGTGGAACCCCATCTCTACTAAAAATAGAAAGAAATTAATCAGGTGTGCTGGCACACACCTATAATCTTAGCTACTCAGGAAGCTGAGGCAGAAGAATTGCTTGAACCTGGAAGACGGAGGTTGCAGTGAGCTGAGATCATGCCACTGCACTCTAGCCTTGGCGACAGAGTGAGATTCCA